GGACTTGTAAATTATTGTTCAAAAATTATATTTGTTCACTTCACATGTGCTTAATGTTTTACCTTTCTGTTATTTATTGAATGATTGAATGCATATAGCAAAGTTAAAGTGCTTTTTATAATCATGGATCTCTTATAGACAAATTAATTATTGGCATAAGTGATTTCATTGATTCCCTGCAAGTACCTAAGCTAGGTTTTCATGAAAAATTTTCAATCTTAATTTTCATTTATGCTTTAACTATGAATGAGATAACTTAACAGTCGCTACCAGCCTTCTTTCTAGCTTGGTGGTTGTGGACCTCTAACTCCAACCACTAGGTTGTGGGTTCGAGGGCTGGTAGAGAGAGAGAGACAAAATAGAGAGAGATTTGAGGTATTCTAAAATACCTACTTTTTATAAATAAAAAAAAAAACAGTCATTAGATGACTTATAAGACTGCTTGCTTGTTTATAGACGGGTTAAGTCTTGACATAAATAATCCTTGCAAATCTCTACAAAACATCCGAGTCATGCTCTTAATTCACACATCCCATCTTTATCCTCCAATTAACCTGCTATTGACTTAGGGGTTAATTGAGTAATGTACAAGGCACAAATATAATAAATGGATGAATAAGTACATGTCTAGATCCTCAAGCTAAATGATGACTTTTATTTTCATTTAAGAGAATCTTATATTTTGTCTAGAAAATACTATCATCATCATAACTTCAAATCTTAAGGGTTCCAGTCACTTTGGTCTTTATCACTTTTAACTTTAAAATACTACATTAGTTCCTTTTGTATTCGAATCTGGACTTAGTTGGATTATAACTATAACTTGATTGCCTGCACTTAGGTGTACACATTTCAAATCAAATCAAGCGAGCCCTATTATTTTTTCGTGGTCTTTTCCTCTTTCTTTTCCCTAAATCATAAAGAGATTGATCTGGAGAAGGCTAGTGAGCATAGGGCAGTTCCTACTAGTTTTTCAAGCCTAAAACCAAGCACAAAAATTGACCTTTTAAACACTAAAGGATGTTGCTCAAAAAGTGGTTTACCCTCAAAATTATGGTATTGCAAAAGTTGTTCCCTAAGCGTAGGGAGGCTTATGTGTCGTGTATTAACTCGAAAAAAGTTTTGAGGTTGTCTCCTCAGGGAAGGTCAAGACTAAGTGTTTCGAAAGTGATTTTGAAAATAAAAGTTAAAATTGGTTCGTTGATAGTGTTGGTCAATCGTGAGATTTGAGGTTCAAAAATTCATAAATAAAAAGGGTTGGCTAATCCTTAGAATTCATCCCATTGGGTATGGTTAATCAATCCTCCTTATAACTTAATTGAACTCAAAAGTGTTCTTGTTCTATTGGAAGATAGGAATTAGAAATCAAGGATTACCAAATGTGTGTTTTGGTGTTAAATTGATTCGTAGGAAGATTGATTCATATATGTTTGAAGGGACGATAAGCGCGCCTTGTGACAAGTCTACGTTGCATCAAATGTGTTCAAATGTATACATTGCAATCTACCTAGTCAAATTCAACACACTACACTACAAGGCAATGTGTGTGAAGATTAATTTTCCCCTACTTGGATGGAAATCCTTCCTTGGATTTCGCCAACAAATGGTTTAGCCGGCCATAGATGAAATGAAATTGCTAAAGAAAATGGAAAACATTACATAGGAAACACACACCAACTTAAACTAGCCTAAGAAAAGGGTAAACAACTTAAAGCTTGATCAAATATCCTAAAACATATAAGTTTAAAGCACAAATGTTCAAATACTTAAAAATTGAGTTTCCCCAAGCCTGATGTCATGGTGAAACTCTAACAAAATGCATTCATCATGGAAAATGGAAGTTATACCAAGTTTAGAAATGAAGATTATAAGCTTTAAAAACTTACTAGACCGAAAATGATCAAGAAAATACAAAAAATCCAACTTTTTCTCTCTAAAATAATGGTCCTTCTTCCTTGGAGCTTCTCTCTCTAAAAGCTTGAATGTGATTGTGTGTTCCTTGCATCCATTTGTGCATAATACTCTCTCTCCACTAAAAAGTGCGGGGAGACCTTGATTGGAGAAAAATTGTCCAAAATTTCTTTTCAATTCAACAAAGGTATGGTCTCCTTGTCCTTTCCAACCATTCTCTCTTTCCTCATGGTTTCTCTTTTTTCCTCCACTCATTTATGCTTGAAAGCTAAATGTAGTGGTTGGGGTCATGGTAGAGTGTTAATAATGTCACAATATGGCTTAGATGTCCTTAGGAGTATCCTTGTGGCCAAAAACAATGTTGAGAGTAAAATTCGGGGAAGTCTGAGCATATGTACCGGTACCAAGTGATGATGGTATCGGTACCCCACTTCTAGTGAGCTCAGGTACCAGTACTTAGTGATGAAGGTACTAATACCTCATTCATTCTTCAATTTCAAAAAGGCTGAGGTACCAGTCTCAAGTACTAGTATTTAGCTTCACAAGTACTAGTACTTAGCTTCTAGTGGCCTTAGGTACTGGTACTTAGCGTCACACGTACCGATATCTCTTTGCTTGCTTTGATTTTTGCACTTCAACACTTTCAAGCCCTCATTTCTTCAACCTTTGTCCACTAAAAACATTGCATAGTGATAATACCCTGTATTTACACCCCAATCACCTACAATCACACATTTCTCTATTAATTTCCAAATTAAACTAAATTCAAATAAATTATTGCAAAGCCAAGCTAAAATGAATGTAATGAGACTGTTAAATATGAAATATTACGCACTCATCATGTTCCTAAAAAATAACCCGCTAATGGTTCAAACTATATTTTCAAAATACAAACAGTTTAGAAAATCTATTCATTTTAAATTACCTAGGAGCCATACACAAATTAATCCCTAATTACATTTTAACTCTAATCCTCCTAAGTCTATTAAACCAAGGGATTATCTTAGGTATCTAGGTCATTACATGTATCCTAAGTTTGAAGGTTCAACTGAAGTGTGAATGATGTAACTTTAATGGTTGATCTCCTCCCTTCAATTACACTTTCAAATCTTCAATTTTTATAGCATTATGACCATGAATGTTAATATTTAGAATGGACTTCATGAAATTAACCAATTACAAAATATGTTCTACCAAGGTGAATAATGAACTAGGTGGGAATGCTAATTGGGTATATGAAACAGATGGAGGTGTTGATTCAAATGTGGAGGTTTAAGGAATTTCTTATTTAAGGTGTGTTTGATGGATAATTCAAAAGTCCATCCTTTAGATGCAAGCACTTCTTAAAGAGATAAGGTTGTTTGTTGTCCAAAAAAATTTAATCTTATTAAAAAATTCATCTTCAAGATGTCAATTCGCGAGAAGTCTTTTAGGGGAGTTTCTCAAAAACATCTTAGTTGCACTTGTCGGGAAGTAATTTTTAGTTTCACATTGATTTCCAAAACTAGTCTTAATTTTTGTGATTAAACATCTATTTTTGCCCTCCTTCATATGTAATTTACATATGTTAGATTATAGGATAGGAAGCAAAAAAAGATATATCGTACTAGAACAGTAATTGTAGATAGACATGACTAGTTATAGATACATATTGCTTCAAAAACACTTCTAAAACACAATTTTAACAAACAGTTAAATATATAAAAAAATTTATTTTAAAAAATCCATATTAAGGATGAACTTTTAAAAGTTATGTCAAATGCAACTTTAGTTAATCTTGTATATAAGTTGCTAAAAACTAGAATTTATTTGAGTAGATAATTATCATATTTTATAATAAAAATTTAATGAAAAAAAGAATTTTAGAGTGTATATATCTTAGATCTTATATCATAGCCTATATTTAATTGAGTAATGTTATTTGAATATAATTTATTGATCTAATTTATTAATTTAATTCATTATGATCCTCATCAAATATTAAAACTTAAAGTAGATCCAATAATTTTAATGAAATTACATTATTAGATTAATAAATTAGGTTAAATTTTTAGAAATTGGTAGTCAATGCCAGCGAATCCTTATTCATTTTTATAGGAAATGGGGACCGCGAAAATCTGTTGCTGGTGTCTCTATGCATACATATGGTTGCCTATAAATAAAAAATGCATCAGACCTCGATTTTCGATTTTTTAATTTTATATATAGATCCCTAAGGTTTGTAATAAATTGCACCCACACCTTTTAAAGTTTATAGATATATAATACTTAAATTTTTTAAGTCTAAAATATTATATTTAGACTAAAAATATTTCAATCAAATATTTTAAATTTTATAACTAAATTCATGTTATATCGTATTATTTATTGAAATAAAATCAAAAATAAAAATCTAATTATTTTAAAAAAATTATAATTAGTATATAATTATATTATCTATTGGAATAAAACAAAAAAAATTAAACAAGGGGTCTAAATCATTCATAATATAACATGAATTTACAATCAAAATTCATATTATATTATGTTATTTATAGAAATAAAATCAAATATAAAAATTAATTTTTTCTTAAAAAATTATAATTAATATACAATTAATTGGTTGTAAAATTTAAAATATCCACATCTCAAGGTCAAACATCGATGAGCACATTGAAGTATTCATGTGGCTAAGAGTCCTCACAGTCTAGCACATCGATGAACACATTTAAGTATGATATTTTAAATTTGAGAGATTTAAGTATTATAAGTTTATAAATTTCAGGGTATTTAGATATAATTTATTAATTGATATATTACCAACAGGTATATAAATGTTAAACGTGTACAAATTTTAAAAAATTTATATGTAATATTTTAAATATATAGCTGCGTGAATATGTCAAACCTCATGAACGGGTGCAATTTCTTAAAAAAAAAAAAAAAAATAAATAAATAAATAAGTTGCCCACTTTAGCCGGGGGACCGATTCCATTTCCAGATGTACTCTCTCTCTCTCCTCGTCAGAGCCTCGGCACTCCATAATTTCACTCCTGATATAAATATAAGGAACCACTATTGGAAGAACTCTTCTGAAGACCATTGCAAGTATGGCGTCTCAAAGTAAAGTCGGGTTCATTGGGTTGGACGACCTGAGTTTGGAATTAGCTGCTTCACTCCTTCGCGCTGGCTATGGCGTCCAGGCGTTTGAGGTCTGTTTTTCATTTATAATCTCTACTTTCCGAATTTGATTAATATGTTGCATTCCTTCGAAGAAATATTTTTTGTTGCTCTCTAAAGGAAAATTTTAAATTATTTTGCTTTAGAAAAGCAATCTTTTTAATTCAAATTTTCCAGCCCAAGATAAAGGTTGGTATATTAGTTTTAGTTATGAGATCAAGTGGCATTGCCTAACGCTATTGTAAAAGTGGTCAAGGGTATTGCCTGATGAAGTGTCTGGAAAAAAGCCTTTTCTGATGCTGATAATGCATGAATTACTTTAAATTTACTTGTTAGATTGGTTTTATGTGGGTCTGAATGGTCATCATTACGGGGGAGATTGTGTTTTTTAATGGTGAGGTCGACAGCAAATGAGTTAATGGCAAAAATTCCTAATTGTGAAAGTAGAAAGAAAGAATAAAATAGGTTCCTTTGTAACGGGATTTTATTCTGAAAACAATAAAATTAATGTTAATGGTTTACATTAAAGATCTGACCGCCAAGTGGTACGTTGACAGTGATTGGGATTACAATTACATTGATTCAGTCCTGTTTATCTACTGAGTTTTCATTTCAAATCTGTCACATTTTAATTTATTTATGAGGCTCGATCTTGTCTTCAGTTATAAATCTCAGATATCCAACAGATATGATGATTGATGGATATTTTCTGACTTTATGTACAACATGGAGTTCACACAATCAACTGCGTAGATGACATGGTTGTTCTTTGTTCTCATTTCTTTATCTGAAATGGAGGGTTTTGTTTTGCTGTGTTTAGTTTTCTTCTATCCTGTTCTTCCCCTCCCTTTTTATGAACACATTAATGGCACATAATTGCTGTGTTCAAAGTTAATAGATTTAGGTATCGTCTGAATCTCTTTTTTAGTACTTCTGTTTTTGTTTTTTTTTTTTTTTGATGTTTCAGTACTTTTTTTTTTTTTTTTGGCTGTTTTAAGTAAATTTTTAAGTAGAATTTGTTTTTACACCTTTTCTCTCTTGTTTTTTCTTTGTTCGAGTTTACTCCTTTCCTACAAGATTAACTGAATTATTTCTGTTATACATATGCACATATATGCATGTTATTCATACAATTAGACGTATATATATGCCTTACGAGTGGCGTTTCATATATCTAAAAGAGTCCTAACCTGAATAAGTATGGTAAGAAGAAAATAAATTAGAACATCAAGGATATGATCAGATGCTTCAAATTCAATGATCTAAAGGGCGTGGGGAGTATTAGATGCACTAAAAGAAAGAAGCAACTAAGTTACCTGAGTAAGCATAGAAGGTGGAAGTAGTGGTGGATGTACCTAGTTTAGATATAAAGAGCCTAAGACTTTCACTCTCCTTGACAAGATTCTCAATATTAGATGCAGATGGACATGAGATTGGGGTAGTAGCTCTGGCAAGATGAGCTACAAAATTGTGATGAGCATGGTTCCAAAAATTATTGCCTGAAAGACCCTCTCTACGTTCGAATGTACCATGACCTATGTCTCCAGCAGGTCTTTTGGATGTGTCATGTCTTGTTATAAGAGTCACAAGAGAACCTATCCTATCATCCAAGGAGGAATCCATGGTTGTACCATTGGCTTGACATTTTTGACCTTACCTTGTTAAGAAGTTGTAATCAATACAAATCTTTCCCTTTTGTGAGATTGCATCATCATACCCCTCATACTCTTCTCACTTTGAACGTATACATATAACAATAAGGGAAGGGAGAAGCTCCTTGCCCAAGATTTTAAAGCGGAACTAATCGGCCTTAGACATAAGCCTAGTTGAAAAATCAAAGATATGTTCATGCTCAACTATTTAATGGACCTTCGAAACATTGTTTGGTAGTGGTGTAACTCTAGTCAGAGACTCCAATGTGAAGTCCTAGAGGGGGAGGGGGAGGGAGAGTGCATAGGACTACTCTAAAAATCTAGAACTTCCTTTTTGGGAGTTCTCTTGTTTAGCTCGGAGTCCTTTTGCTTGTTTCTTCAATTAATTCGAACGAAGGCATTATGGTCACTTTAGCTTTTCACTTACATTTGCATGTTAGCTTGGTTCATATTAGTGTGAGGAATGTATTACCAAAAGGCCTAAGTTTGTTATTTGTAGTGTAGAGGCAGAACAATCTTGTTATGTAGAAGCTGGTCGACCAAGATAAGGGCCGGTTACTTGCAATAAAGATAGCTGCTTGGTTGTTACAATGCATCTTCATAGGGGATGATACATCAAGTATGGGAACGATTTTCAATAATCGTGTTCTACCTTTTAAACTAGTATGGAAACGATTGGTTTTTATGGCTTCCCTTTGGACTAAAGGTACAAGAAATTTTAGAGAGTTGTCTTTGTCAAATTTTCAAAGGAAATGGATGGCGGCTCTACTTTAGTTTCATTTTTTCCATTTTATCCTTTTCTTAAATCTTTTTTATGGTAGATATCTTGTCCTATATATTGTATTATGCTCTTTATTCCTTTCAATAATAAAATTCTTCTTTTATCAAAAAAAAAAAAAACTAAAAGAAAGCCGAGCCACCTTCCAATTCTGTTGAAGCTCCAACAAAAGTATCCCTCTGAAGTTTCACGTGGCTTTGGTCCAAAAAGAAGCCACAAACACAATTCTTTCACAAATTTCTAATGGAAGATAACGATCATTGAACATTCTTATGACCTTAGCTTCTTTGTTCTTCCCAAAATTCGTAACTTGATCTGCAACACCTCCGCTATAGAAGGATTTGCCCAAGCCTCACAAATCACATTGAATACGCTGTTCTAAAATGATTCCAAGCTTTATGAGGCCTCCTCACCTGGGTCAAATTGTTAGTATTCACCTGTTTAATGACAATAGATCTAACGAATTCTTTGACATTCCAAGGAGCTTTGGCTTCACAAATGACTTTATCTACAAAAGGACTGAGCATTACGGGAGCTTAGATGATACGTGTAAAAAGATGTGAAAGAGAAGTTACCAGATTTATCAATAGTCCAAAGCCTATGATTATGAGAACAACAAAAACGAAAGCTATTAAGATAGTTATGCAAAGAACTTTAAGTCTATTTGTTTCATTAAGAGGTAGTAGTTTTTCATTTGGATGCAATTTGATGTTTATTTTAATGTTTTCATCTTCAGACATTCAGCCCTTTGATGGACGCATTTTTGAAGCTTGGGGGAGTAGGATGTGTGAACCCTATGGAGGCTGGGAGAGGTAAGCACGATGTTTGCTTTACTTGGTTGATCCTTTCGATTGTCTATTTTTATCCTTTTTAGCATCTAAACTGGATTAATGTTGTTGCTTTAGCCAACTGTAGTTATTTAAATTTGACCATACTATTACCTCAAGTGATTCTTGTATTAACAATGTAGTGATCTAACAACTATTTAAAGAAACAATGAGGTCATTAATGTGAAGCTCTTACAAAATCTATAGTCAGCCTATCATCCACCATATTCCATGATTCCATCAATGTCTCCTGGCATATGTCTGATGGGGGCCAGGCAAGCACTAGCCTTAATTTCGTCTATAAAGCACATATTTTTGTTAAATAATCTGGCAAATAATTTAAAATTATTATGACTATACATCCCCCATGGACCATTGACCATATACCTAGTGTTTTGAACTTTGATTCAAGTCTTTAGGAACTTCTTTTCCTATTTTTCCATTTGTGTTTTCCTTTCAGACCATTTATCATATGAGTAATTCTGTTAAGAACATTTTCCCTTGGGCTCCACATTTTTTGCTGGAAAGTTAGGGGAGAACATTAGTTTCCAAGAACTTTAATTGTTTTAGGTTCACTTTGCAGAAATGATAAATCCACGTTTCCAGGAAAGAAAACGTAAAACAAGTGCCTTGATTTGCTGGAAGTTGTTGCCAAATTGTGGGAAATGTTAGGCAAAATAACCTATTAACTGCAGTGTCAACCAGGGCCTGGTTGCAGCTTAGGAGTATGCCCATTTCTGCCGTAAAGGTTACTGGTATATTTGTACTGCATATCTAAAGTAGCTGATAATTTTATTGGAAAGTTTAAGCCATTACTGACGAGAAGGCCGTAGTATTGCCATCACACATGAGTATGATATTGTGGTGGGGTGGACTTAGTATGGATTTAGTCTCCTAGCGGTTTTTTTTTTTTTCCTTTTTTTGATGAATCCTGCATTCCCATGCTCTTTCCCTTTGTATGTAGAAATGGCCCTCCATCTTAAGCTATTTGTGCTGCACATCTAAATTAGCTATAATGTTATTGGAAATTTTGAGCGATTACTAACGAGAAGGCCAGAGTCTTGCCCTTCGCCTGTGAATGTGATATTGTGGGAGGGATGGACTTAGTATGGATATAGTCTCCGAGCTTTTTTTATTGTTTTTGGTGAAGTGGCTACTTTAGTATTCGGTCCCATGCTCTTTCCCTTTGTACCAAGAAATAATCCTCCATCTTACCCAAAATTCTGGGAGGGAAAAGCAACTTAAGATCCGTCAATTATCGGGGATGATAATGACATTTTGTATTTGTTTATTTTAGAAATTACACGTTGGAAGCATAAAGCATTATATATGTTTACTATACTTGCAGTTGTTTCCTCTTCTTCTTCTGTATCTTTGATGCTGCTAACTAACATGATCTCTCTTTCTTCAAGAATTTTTGACCCCATTGGTATTTTAGTTAAGCGTTCTAGTAGTGTTTTATTTGTGGTAATCAAAATAAGCTTTCCAAATCTCCACACTAGCATCATTTAAACTTTTTGAGCCCTTGTGCGAAATATATGCCAGAAAATTTTATTTTGTTAAAGACAATCTGTTTTTAGATATCTTAGTATGCAGTGTAGATAGAATACTAATGAAACATTGTTAATACATAATATCGACTACAAATAATTTCCATTTCGTAAAGGTGGAGTATAAATCCTAATGACTTTGTTTATCCCAATTTGAAAGATCACTCTTTTTTGTTTTTGCTCGAGTAAATCACTTCTCAAAAGTTCATTTCCATTATATTGTTCGAATTGTATTATGAATGTCTTTTCTTTAGCGATAATCGTAAATGAGATGAAAGCATAAGAACAAGGATCAAAATGTCGTGTCGACACGTCCGAAACTTCCGAAACGTTTCGGAATTTCAACACTCCGAAACGAAACAGTAGTTGAATCACAAAATTCCAGTGTTTCGGTCGAAACGGTACTGTTTCGGACCGTTTCGGTCGAAACGGTACTGTTTCGGACCATTTCGGTCGAAACGGTACTGTTTCGAACCGTTTCGACAAAACAGTGATATATTCGGTTCATTATGAATAATTACATTTAATACCCCATTATAATTACATTTAATACTCACTATAATTATATTTAATATCCCACTATAATTACATTTAATTCCCACTGCTCTTCTGTCTTTTATAATTTTTTTGTTATAAGAATAAATAATTACACTTAATACCCTACTATAATTATATTTAATACCCATTATAATTATATTTAATACATACTATAATTATATTTAATACCTCACTGCTGTGCAAGTTTTTTGCTTTTTTTTTTTGTTATAAGTATTAACAATTACATTTAATACCCTAATGTAATTATATTTAATACCTACTGTAATTACATTTAATACCCACTGCAATTACATTTAATTTTTAAGTATACATAAGTATCATTAATTTAATTTGATACCCTTCATTATTAGTATTATAATAAAATAGTATTATTAATTGGATTATATTACCGTAATAATATGATTTGGAGTAACTATTGTCATCATATTTATGTTACATATGGAGTTTCTCTAAGTAGCTACCTAGAGCCTACACCGATGTATGAGCCTGCTCGACACTCCACAGGGGAATGGATGTAACCATGTAAGTATGTACTCATTAGCATTTTATGTGTATTATAAGACCTTAATATTATGTAAAAATGTGTTTATTTCATAAAAATTAATTGTTTGAAACTAATTTAAGTGACTTTCGCCTCAAGTCAAGCCTTTTTTTCCCTCAAATTTAAATTTATTCTTGTATAAACTGATGTTAACCTAATAAATATGTTGAATTAATAAATTATTTAGCATATCTTTATAAATTAATGGATTGCATTTGTGTTTCTATGCGTTTCCATATTTTTTCTGCGTTTCCATTGCGTTTCCGAAATGTTTCCGAAACGTTTCTATTTTTGAGTTGACCGAAACGGTACTTCGAAACGAAATTTTGATCCTTGCATAAGAACTTGTATAACATCAGTAGTTAGTTATTGTAGAATGTTAGGTTATTTCAATTAAGGGTATTAATGTAATCTTCATTTTATTATGAGTTAATATAAATATGGGTGATGAGAGGAGAGGTTGATTAACTTTCATTCGCCTAAACCTTATTCTCTAATCAGTTTCTTCTCTTCTCTCTTCTCTTGCCTCTTCTCATTCTAAACCCTAAGATTTAAAATATTTAGATTTCATCTGTTTTACCAACTACAACTAACACCGAAATAAGTATCATAAAAATAGGATTCCCAACGATGAACTTTGAGATGAGACCATGCAGTAACAGTTAACAAAAGAAGTCCAAAGATTATCTCTCTTTTATAAATCTGAATTATGTTAACACCTTCAGATTTGACTACCTTATGGTATATCCTTCATGTCTTTGCTTGCAGGTGTTGGAGCTTTAATCATATTGATTTCTCATGCAGATCAAATAAATGACATTATTTTCAGTCATGAGGGTGCTTTAAAAGGTCTTTAGTAGGCTTCTCAGCACTGTGTCAAATCGATAGTAGGTCGACATAGTTACTGTGTGGTGATGTTCATTTCTGGACTTGCAGGGTTGCAGAAACATGTAGTCATTATTCTCCATTCAACCATATCACCTGCATATATCCAGAAGCTAGAGAAGAGCATTACAGGCAACTTTTTTCTTCATATTTCTTGTTGAATGCTGACATGTTTTCCAAATTAGAGTAGAATAATGTATGCAATCTTAAATCTTAGAATAATGTATGCAATCTTAAATGCTCCCTTCAAGTTTTTCTATTTTTGTGCACAGTTGGTCCCGAATTGTTGAATAACATTTTCCTAGGACAGACAACCATGTTTTGGTGTCAACAAGGGGGGCCCCAGTTGTGTGTGTGGTAAGGAGAAGTCAGCTGCCACATTTGCAAATAAAATTAGTGAAATTTGTGTGTTGGTGTGTGGTTTTCTGAAGTATATCCACCACACCATCTATCATTCTCGTGAGTTGACCTCTAGTACACTATTGGTTTCTTGGAGGATGCCTTTGCTGGCTCCAGCTTTTTGGAGTGTTACTTTTTAGTTTATCAACATTCTACAGCATATCAGAACCCTTATTTTTGTTTCCTTTTCTATTTTTGTTATTTATTTTAGATTTACTATTGATCGTCGCCACTGCTATTTTTTTCCTGTCGCTGCGACAAATCCCATGGCTGGACAACAACAACTAGAGATAATGCAGCGGTGAACCAAAACCAGCTAATCCTACAGTTGATGCTCATCAGACACCGTCAAGGAATCGTGCCCCAGCCCCTGGGAGGGGAAGCACCCCAGGCACTCTGCCCAGGGCGCCAAGGCACCCCCCAGTAGTGTGCCCAGTGTCAGGGTGCCCCCTTGTAGTGCCAGGGCGCCCCCTTGTAGTGCCAGGGCATCCCTCCTCAGTGCCTAGGCGACCCAGCTTCCCCTATTCATGTGTCGACTTCGTCCTCCCATGCTGGTGACCCTCTTACGCAAGAAGACGAAGGGGAAAATCAGTACGTGGACCACAAAAACCACCACAACAATCTTTCAGAGAGCGTCCCTAACCAATGAGACGAAAAAATTAAGGTACAGAATCAACTAGGTGATGTCTTCAACACCATCAAGGCACGAATGCCGGAAATAGTTGACTACCTTGTGAGACACACTAACACTCGATTCGTGACTGATATAGCCCATTACCCCTTCCCCTCAAAGTTCAGGATGCCAACTATGGAAGCTTTTGACAGCACAAAAAATCCATTGGACCACCTTGATACTTATAAATTTCTCATGCATTTGCATAACATATCAGACGAAAAAATGTGTAGAGGCTTGCCTACCATCCTCAAGGGATTTGCACACCAATGGTTCGCCAAACTCAAACTAGCTTCCATTAATTCTTTTGCTAAACTAAGCAAATCATTTTTCTCCCACTTCATTGGGAGGCGCCGACTTCAGAAGCCTGTTACTCACTTGCTCAGCATCGATCAATATCGGGATGAAAGCCTAAAGAGTTACCTCACTCGTTTTAACGAGGAGGCCCTCTAGATCAAAGAGCCAAATGACAAAGCCACCATGACTGCCTTTATTGTAAGCCTACGTTCATCGAGTTTTATGTTCGCGGTCTTGAAGAAATCGCCAACAGGCATGCCGGAATTATTGTCAGAGGCCTAGAAATATATAAATGTTGAGGACGTCACCAAGGACAAACGAGGTGAATCCTCCCGGGGAGGGGAGAAGAGGAAGGAGCCCCGTGAAGACAGAAGAGAAACAGAGAATACAAGGAAGAGGACAGAGAGAGTGCCAGCTAAGGACCGCCTTGGCCCTACACCTCAGAGGGAGCGACAGGCCTCACATTGTTTAATGCTTCAGCTAAGCATATTTTGCCCCAAATTTAGGATGAGCTTGCAATACGTTAGCCGAAAAAAATGAAGTTTGCCCTAAATCGTAGGAACCCAAACAAATACTGTCGCTTTCACAGCGATCATGGCTACGATACTGACGACTGCTTTGAACTTAAGAGGCAGATGAGGACCTTATATAGCGTAGGCAGTTGCGGCAACACGTGGCAGGCAGATGCGATACCTCACCACTAGGTCGCAACTAGAATGAGAGAGAGCACCAACAACCCCAAGGAGAAATCTAGACAATCTCCGGATGGATAGGAGGATGAGCTGACTCCAACTTAGCTAAGAAGGCACACACTAGAAACGTTAGGCACACGGATGACCTACGCCCGTTGAAGTCTCACAAGCGAGGAGACGACGAGGTCATCTCCTTCTCAGACAAAGACTTGGAGGAAATTCAGCACTCCTATGACGACCTAGTAGTACTAACCATGATGGTCGACAACTACCGAGGAGGATCGTTGTGGATAGTGGCCGGCAGCTTTGCTGACATCTTGTTCGCCAAGACGTACGATAACCTTCATCTTGGCCAATGATCAAAATTTTGTTTTGATACATTATTTCATTCACCTAAAAAATGGAAATGTTTCGACATGTTTCGAAAATCTTTTGACCCATTGTGAAAACAGAATAAAAAAATAAAAAATTTAAGAATTATTTTTTTAAAACATTGGTTGAAATATACCAAAATATCTTAGAATACTTTAAAATATTTTGAAACAATTGTACAAATACATTGAAATATAACAAAATATTATGGACCACTTCAAAGTATTAGAATTTCGATTCCATCATTGATTTCTTTGGGAACGGAAACGTTTTGGATGTTTTGACCGTTTTGAAACGATATTTTGATCTTTGATCTTGGTAGGGAGAGACTTCAACCCATTAGGATGCCTCTCATCGGTTTTTTAAGAGAAAAGGCGTACCCCTGGGCTTCATCACTCAACCAGTCACTGTGAGTACAACATCGAGAATCTCCACTATAATGGTGAATTTTTTGATGTTGGATTTGCTGCCTTTTAGCAACATCATCTTTGGGAATCTTGCACTAAACACCCTGAGGGGGGTGCCATTCGCATATCACCTTATTCTCTGTTTTTCAACCTCAAGCGGAATTGGAGAAATTCGAGGAGATCAAGTTGCCACTAGGGAGTGTTATATTGCCTCTATGAGGGCCAAAAAACCTTAAAAGGCCCTACAAGTGAAAGTGCTTGACCCTAGGGATGACAGTATACTAGAGAGAGGAGACCCAGTATAGGTGCTTGTACCAGTAGTCCTCGACGAAAGTTTTTCGGACAAGAGAATCTTTATTGGCTTCTCATTTCTTGAAGATCGAGCTCAACAGCTGATTAATTTTATTAGATAGAACATTGACGTCTTTGCTTGGTCTCACGAAGACCTTGAAGTCATCACCCACCGGCTCAATGTCGATCCCCGACACAAACCCATCTGCAAAAAGCTGAGAAGTGTTGCTACTGAAAGGGTGCAAGCCATGGAGAAAAAAGTGGGGAAGCCATTAGCAAATGGGTCGGTGAGAGAGGTGGTTTGCTAAGTCTGGCTATCCAATGTTGTGATTGTGACCAAGACTGGAGGAAAGTGACGCCTTTGTGTGGACTTCACTGAGCTCAACAAAGCCTGTCCCAAAGATAGCTACTCTTTGTTGCGCATCAACATCCTCATTGATGCCATAGCTGGTCATGAGCTACTTAGTTTCCTAGATGCCTACTCTGGATATAACTAGATTAACATGTATCCCCTAGTCCAGGAGAAGACATCTTTCATCACTCCTAAAGGGACCAACCGTTACAAGGTTATGCCCTTTGGGCTAAAAAATGTAGTAGCAGCATGCCAATGACTGTAAACAAGATGTTCCAGTCACAGTTCGGGAGAACTATGGAGGTATACATACATTACATGTTAGTAAAGAGCCTTGCCGCAGCAGACTATGTGACCTACGGAGACCTTTAACGTCTTGAGGTCTTACAACATGAAATTAAATCCTGATAAGTGCACCTTTGGCACAGGATCATGAAAATTCTTGGGTTTCATGGTCAATAAGAGGAGAATTGAGGTGAATCTGGAGAAAATCAAGGCCATTCTGGACATGAGGTCCCTCGCCACTGTAAAAGAGGTCCATCGTCTTAGCGGAAGAGTTGCAGCTCTTAATTGATTCCTCTCGAAGTTCGTTGATATGTGTTTACCTTTCTTCAGAATCCTCCAGAGGCTTTTGAGTGGGGACTTGATACGAAAGAAGTTTTCTAGAAACTAGAAGCTTATTTTTTCGAATCCCTTTGTTGTCCCACTTCATGCCTAGAGAGACCTTGTACCTTTACTTGGATGTCTCCCACTTCATACCTAGGGAGAATAAAGGAATACTAAAACCCATCTATTATGTGAGTAGAGCTTATCGAGGAGCAGAGATAAGATACTTAAGGTTGGAGAAGCTAGCTCTCGCCCTAGTTATGGCCAGGTGCCTTCGACACTTTCAGAGCCGCACCATCATGGTTGTCATGGATCAACCACTGAAAAGAATATTGAGAAAGCTGGATATGTTCAGAAGGCTCCTCAAATGGGCCATCAAATTAGGCTAGTTTGACGTGAAATGCCAGCCAAGAGCGACAATCAAGGCACATGTGTTAGCAGATTTTGTGGCTGAGCTCACGTCGATTGATGAGAAAGGTAGCAAAGAAGAATCAACACCCATTGCCAGTTCCTCGGTGCTTGCCTGCCTTTGGGCCAGCTCGTCAAGCACCGCGCCCAAATCCCTTGGCACCTTGGCCTTGGCGCCCAGCTCCCTAGGTGCCTTGGCCTTGGTGCCCAGCTCCCAGGCGCCTTGTTCACCAAGCACCTCTGCCTTGGTGCCTTGTTCCCTAGGCACCTTGGCACTCTCCTCCTCTGCGTTCCAGCACGGTGCCCTGCGCTGTGCCTACATACAAACCTTGCTGGAGACTTAACATAGATAGGTCCTTAACTAATGAAGGGAGTGGAGCGGGCCTAGTACTCATCAGCCCCAACGACACTCCTCTCAAATACGTCGTATCACTTCATTTTGCAGTCTTCAACAACGAGACAGAATATGAGGCACTCATCTCTTGCTTGAGACTGACAATTGAAATGGAGGCCTGTTATCTCACCGTCTATGGTGACTCCCAAATGGTAGTTAACTAAGTAAAGAGAGATTTCAAAGCGAGATAATAAAGGAATGTAGGTAGCAAACTTTACTAATAAGGTTTCACTATTTCTTGATTCAATATGTATAAGGGAGGATAATATAGTAGTAGACACACTGACCAAGTTTGTATCAACTTCAAATATTCCACTAGGTCCCACATTTACGGGTCACCAACTTGAGCTAAGTAGGCTCAAAACGAATGTAGGTAGCATCAACTGCGCATCCACCAACAACGACTGGATGACACCCATCTGGGTGTATCTAGAAGAGGGCACTCTCCCAGACAGTCTAGTGGAAGCCAAGAAGCAAAGGCTAAGGGCGTCAAAATGTGTCATCTAATAGGACATCTTCTACAAGAGGAGCTACTCACTGTCGTTACTTCGCTGTCTCTCTCTAGAGGAATCTGACTATGTCATGAGAGAGGTCCACGAGGGAGTATACGAAAATCATTCTGAAGGGCATTTTTTAGCTCATAAGGCAGTCAGACAAGGCTACTATTGACCTAATATAATTAGAGACACCGAGAGTTTGTGAAGAAGTGTGACAAGTGCCAAAGCTTCGCCACTGTGCCAAGGCAACCACCAGAAGAATTGACCACCATCATGAGTCCTTGTCCATTCTCTAAATGGGGCATCGATATCCTAGGTTTCCTGCCCATGAGTTGCGGCCAGTGTGAATTTGTGGTATTCATCGACTATTTCACAAAGTAGACAAAAGCTGGGCTCTTAGCCAAAATAACAAATAAGAAGGTGAAAGACTTTATCTGGAGAAACATGGTGTGTCACTTCGGAATACCCCATGCCATATTGAGTAATAACACTAAGCAGTTTGCCAACAAGCTTCTCAATAGTTTGTGTCGACTTTCAAATTAGGTAGCCCCACTCCAGTCAAGCCCACCTTTAGGCAAACCTACTAGTCGAAGTCACCGTAAAAACTATATTGCGTAATCTGAAGATTAGATTGGAAAAGACCAATGGACTATGGGTAGAGGAGCTCTCGGGAGTGCTGTGGGCCTACCGGACAACGCCAAGGAGTCCCATTGGCGAGACTATTTTCTCTCTCGCCTTTGGGACAAAAGCAGTCATACTTGTCGAGATCGGGGTACACTCATTGAGTGTCCAACACCATGATCCGTGCACCAATGAAGAAGGCCTCAGTGTTAACTTCGACTTGATAGAGGAGGAAAAGGATATAACTATGATCACGAATGCGGAATAAAAGTGTTGCATAACCAAGTACTACAACTCGAGGTGAAGCCTCGCTCTTTCTTACTTGGGGACTTAATCCTTAAGAAAGTGACATTGGCCATTAAAGACTCGTGTGAGGGGAAGTTAGGACCAAACTGGGAAGGGCCATACATTATCACGGAAATTGTGAGGCCATACACTTATAAAATCCCGAATTTTGAAGGAAAGATCTTAGCCCATTCATAGAATGCTAAACATCTGAAGGGATACTACCAATAATGCGAGGAGAGCCAGAGTAATAAAACTATAGGATTCTATTTAGTCTCAAGCCTAGGCTTGTACCTTTTTTGGGATTACTAAATAAAATTTTTTGAGATTACCACCCACCACTATTTACTATGAGCAGTTATCAAATAAAGGTTTGCAAATTTATTTCAAATTTGCCTTGCTTTTTCATTGCATAAGAAGTTTGGAAACAAAAGCCACTTCCACAAAAGTGAGAGCACAGCTTGTCTGCTCAGAACTCTAACTACCCTCGTTGCAGTCACCTTTCTCATCGTCATCTGACTCTCCATCAACAAAGTGCTCGCCATCAACATAAGCAATGTTCAGCTCCTCATAAGGAACGAATCTAGAGAAGTCTATGCTGGAAAAAGCAACCGAAACTTTCCTTCTGAACTCCTCATAGCCATCAATAAAGGTGCCCATAGTTCTATTCTGCAGATCCTCCTTCCTCATCCTCTCCATCTCCAAGGAATGAGCCTCTACTTTAGTAGCCCTCTCATGGGTTGACTGTAGTTCTACCTCAAATCTAGAAGCCCTCTCATTGGTTGACTATAGTTCTACCTCAAATCTAGAAGCCTTCTCATTGGTTGACTGCAACTCTACCTCAAATCTGGAAGCCCTCTAATGAGTTGCTCACAGCTTTGCTTTAACTCAAGTTGGCCTTTCATGGGCTACCCACAACTCTGTCTTTGTTCTCGTGCGGGTAACCTCACTGTTAGTCTCCAACTTAGCAGCTCTCTTATAGGTTGTCAAAAGCTCAGTATCAAGAGGTTCACTCTCTCGTGAGCCACCCTTAACAGCCCGCAGTGTTTGTCTCTCCTTCATCAGAATCCTTGATACGTACTCATGATGGTTAACCCTCCAAAAAAAAAAACACACGTAGCGGCTGTGGACACCTACAAACATGCAAAAGGAGGAAAATGTTACTGTTATCAAAGGACATGAGGAATAAAATTCCATAGAAGTGTAGATGATTATCTTGGCCAAGCCCTCCATCATGGTATTAATAACACTCTCGGTACCCTCGTAGCTGACTTCTCTGATATCCAAGGGCGACATGAACCTTGAAAGTCAATGCTTGACAACATTCACATCTTGAAGTCTGGACGCAAGAGAAATAGGTGGGGCCCTATTCTGTGCGGGAAAGTGAATGCCTACCTCCGGAGATGCCCGGCTTGGAGAGGTGACTAGAGAAGATGCCTGGACAACTGAAACAAATAGAGGAGCCACCTGCTGAGAACTCATAGGAGCATCATCCAGTCTCACCCTTTTAGGTGGAGGAGTTGCCGGCGCAGCCCTAGTGGAGTAAAGAACCTCCACCCTTGACTTATTTACTGTGGAACCAAAATAAAGGGAGTTAGCTTCTGAAGTTGAAAACAACACTCTTTAGCCATTGGGGGACAGCTGCCCTAGCACGTGTGACGAGTGTGCCAAGATGCAACACATTGGTGTAGGCATCGGGAACTTTTGACCTGTTTCTAGCACCTCTTCATAGATAGCAAGGTCTCTGGAGGAGTCATCAGAGGCTGGCTCACCCATCTCAGCCCAGTGGCACAACACCATGGGGAATACAAAAATTAGATATCGAGCTTAACTTAGAACCATTAGTATTGAGAGAGCTAGAAATAGAGCTCACTTTAGAACTATCGTCATTAGCGACAACCTTAGCATGATATTTGCGTTGTTGTGGATGTGGGAAAACACTACCACCGTCATCTCTCGGCCCTTGCCCAGTGCCTTGCTTTGCGCACAACTACTCCCTAGCACCTAACCTGTCTGTCTGTGCCTCGGCGCCCATGCTTTCTCCTGTACCCGTGCTTGCCCATGTTTTCATGTTAGCAACAAGGGTGTCACCAGTGCTTGCCACGACGGCCTTGCCTCAGCCAGCACTTGCCTCCACACCCACGGCACCCTCGCCTGCCTTAATGCCCTAGGGGCCCTCACTCGCTGCCTCGGCGCCCCTGCCAGCTCCCTTACCGGCTGCCTTGGCCCCCTTGCTAGCGTCTGCTATGGCACCCCTGCCAACGTCTGCTATGGCACCCCAAGCACCTTCGTCGACGCCTTGGCCCGCACCCATGCTTGCTTCGTTGTCAGCATGTATTTGTGGTGCCCTCACACGCGCTTGCATGCTTCGTGGTGCCACCTTACTTGAGGCTTGCTCCTTGAATCCTAATCCATTTGACATCTCTCCTCTTTGTATTTTTTCTCAGATTGAGTTGGAAGAATTGATGTGGGGGGGTTCTATTTATAGCCTAGGTTTTAGATTTGACAATGTTGTAATCAAGTTAAGAGTCTTAATAAGATTGG